AAGTTATGTGTGCTTCTTTTAGGAATCACTTTAAGTTTTTTTTTAGGATTTACTTGTTTTTTTACTAAAGATTGGTTTAAAAAATATACCAAAAGTAATTTCAGCTATTTTAAAAGCACTTCTAAACAAGCCATATATGTCTTTTGAAAAACAAAATAACATGCACTGAATTACTATTGTAGCATCAAGTGAAAATACGTGGTATAAAGTTAGGCCATCTCTAACCGAAGTGCTAAATATAGTCTCGTCTAGAATTATAGCCCTACAAAAAATTATTTTTAAATAAACAGTGTCAGGTTATATATATATATATATATATATCATTTTCAACCGAAATGGCTAAACATAATCTACTTAATAATTATTAATTTTAAGTTTATACTTTAAATTTACTGATTAATTTAATCAAATTACCGTATGATGTTTTTAAATCTAAATATTAAATTTGAATCAATTATTACAGCAAAAAAGCTGAACCACATAAAGGGGCTAGGCGTGGGCTACATTTAATCACCCTGATACCTTGACTTTTGAATCTTTAACCCTCCCTATTGGAGTCGGTCTTATCAACATTGTTGATTATCCTTTCCAATCTAAGCACGCAAATTATTTACCAAAATCGTAATTATCAGCCACTGGCATGGCCTTGATTGATGCGTTGGCAGAAGAAGTAGAACATTCTGGAGTGGAGCTGTGTCTAGTCAACGGTCACATCACGGAGTCCTGAACGACATGATAAGCTCTCTGGATCCTCATCCCTCGAATTTAATCAACAGGTGGCACCACGTCAACAAATAATCATCCAAATCACGCTCTGCCATTTTGGACCATTGCTCACTTGGAGCTTCATCTAGGACCCCACGATGGAAAAGGATCCTCGGATCTTTTTTCTGGGGATTTGAAGAATTTCGTAATCATGTTCGTCTATCATATATCGTGCAGTAAAAAATTATTTAAAATTTAAAATTAAATATAAATATTACTTAACAAAAAATGATCGCACAATAATGAACGGATCAAAATCCAAAACACACCCCCCCCAACACACGATCACGCGGGAACTAACCCCCTACGTGGGTCCCTGTCGTTCCATGCTTCATGCAGTTTCCACATCATCAATGTTCGAGATTTTCATGTGAACTGAAAAGGACCGGCTTTTCGGGCCGAAATATGGGTAAAAGGGCCGGCCTTTTAGTTTTCAACTGGAGCCCAACGGCTATTAATGGGCCAGTGGTCATCTTTTATTTGTACACTAATTTAAAGAAATTGACTCCATTTTGTGAAGGCTTTGGGCTTTTTCTTTCAACGCATAGTGTGGACTCAAAATGCTCTATTTGTGTTCATTTTCGATGTATCTAAGTGATATTTCTCTTTACTTATAATTTTATGTTTAGTTTTGTATATTATGAGTTTGATATCAATTATTTATAGCGTAAATAAATCATATAGCTTGTTTTTTTTTTATGGTTTTTGAAAAATGATAGCATTAGTATGTTAAATAATGAAGAGGGAATGGTGTGGATTTGCTAAAAATCTAATGATCGATTTTTATCATTATTTTTTTATATTATCTATTAGAGAATTGATTTCACACATATTAACCCACCTATTGAAAATTCTTGATTTCCCTAACTAAATGTTTGGACGAGATAAATAACATTGAAAATTTAATAAAAAACCAGAATTTATAAATTGACATGCATCAATTTCTTTATTTGGATTTATTAACATAAAATTTAGATTTTTCGCATGGACAAAGAACTAGGAAATTGGGACCACCAATTCCCATGTTTAAATTCCATGTAGACATGTGTCATTTCTAAATTTCTATGAGTGAGAGTTTAAAATAACGAATTCTGTATTCAAATTTTATTATTTTTTTATGTTAAGCAAACAAAAAAATTTACAAATCTTAAAAATAAAATCTCATCATTTCAATTCCGTCATTTTAAAATTACTTTGTAATCTTAAATTTTCTGTATTGCAGGCAAATTTGATATCATACGCACAGGCGCGTGGGATTTCAATATCATAAAAACATCGAAGTATAAAAGCCCCAAGTTTCTGCGTCGAGCACAATCTACACCAAAACGCCCATGGCCACCGAAGCTCCCGACTATACCACCCGATTTATCGTCCCCGTTTCAACCCGACAACCCAATTGCTCCACTCCGTTTTCGAAGCTCCTATATCGCGTCGAAACGGGTCAGTCCAACTCTCTCTCACACTCTCACTCCTAAAATTCAATGTTTATTTTTCTATGAATTTTTGCAGTAAAATTGGTGGATTGTAGTTAAAAACCCTAATTTGATTGGTTCAGATTCAGTTACTTGTTAATATCTGTTTAGAAGAACAAATTTTAGTGCTTTTGGGATTTTGATTTGCAGGGGTGTATTCAATTGAGAATGTGAGAATTTTAATAGATTTTTATGGAGTTTAATTGATTTGTAGATATTATATATAAAATTTTGATTCAATTCCTTGAAATCTCACGGGAAGATGTGAGATTTGTGGATGCTTAAAATACACTACGAAATCTCTTCAATTCCCTCTAATTCCTCAACTTTCTCAAATTCTTTAAAATCAATTTCTAATTGAATACGCCTGGAATGTCATAAACTTCTTTAAAATCCTAATTGAATACTCCCAGATTTTTAGGGATTTTAATAAACTATCTTAAAATTCTAATTGAATACACCTAGAATTTCAGAGATTCACTTGAAATTCTGATTGAATACCCCTAAATTTATTAAAAGAATTAAAATCCCTTAAAATTCCAATTGAATACACCCCCGTAATTGTATCTAAAACCCACTAGGGTTTTGAACTTTTGATGAATGCCTTGCAATTAATCACTAGTTAATGGTAATTTAATTCCAAAGGTAAAAACTTTTTGGAGTTTTTATTTTTATGCTCAGTAATGATGTGGATTTGCTTGTATTTTGGGAATTTTCATATCCATTTTATCATGCCATGGATTAATATTTGTATATGACATGACCAGAAAGTTGAAGATTGCAAGTGCTGCAGCCATGACTGATGCAATTGATTTATCTGGGGATGGCGGTGTTCTCAAGAAAATTGTAAGGCATGCAAAACCAGATGCAGCTACCCCGACCCAAGACCTTCCGCTCGTTGATGGTATTGACTATAATGCCGTAGCTGATTGTGTTTTTTCTGTTGTTGGTTTTGTGACAATATTTTCTGGTTAAGTTGGGTATGAAAACATTGCAACTTATCTTTAGTTGGTTAATATGATTGCATACTTTATGTTGGGCAGTTCATTATGAAGGCATTCTTGAGGAAACCGGCGAAGTCTTTGACACGACGCACGAAGATAATACAATTTTCTCATTTGAGGTTGGGAAAGGCAGTGTGATCAAGGCTTGGGATATTGCAGTGAAAACCATGAAGGTCGAAAAACACGCTTATCTTCAAGGAAATTTTGGTAGTGTTAAAAGTGTCCTGTTACATGTTTTCTCTTTTGTTGGTTGCATCAGGTTGGGGAGATTGCTAAGATCACTTGCAAGCCAGAATATGCCTATGGTAGTGCGGGTTCTCCACCAGATATTCCACCAGAGTAATGTCATTGTTCTATTTTTATGTCAAAATTGTTTTTTATGGACACTGGGAGTGCTAGTAGCTCCGTTAACTTAAAGATATATTTACGCATCGATGTACCAAAACAACACTGTCCAGACTTAATTCTTACCCAAACATGGATAGTATATGCTTATTGGCAACTATTGCATCTTAGTTTATGATATAAGAGTTATTTGGTTGGTGATCTTTGATTTCATAACTTTAAACCTAGATATATGTTGAATAGATGTAAAATTTCCGGATGCATGTTGGAAAGAAAAGTACATAAACTCCGCGTGGTAAGACTTCTCCAGGAAGAGTCTTCACACGCGAGTATATGCCAATTTGTGTGTTGAGTATTCTGGTTTACGATTGCATCCAAGTGCTTGTAACAGTCTGCTTCAATTTGCTTGGTCAATTATCTCGATTTTCTTGTCACAAATGGTCTCTTTACAATGTCCTTGGAACTAATGCATTGTATATTACAAATGAATCCTGCAGTGCAACCCTTGTATTTGAGGTGGAGTTAGTTGCTTGCAATCCTCGGAAGGGATTAAGTTTGGGTAGTGCTTCAGAGGAAAGGGCTAGGCTAGAGTAAGCTATCTACTTTCATCTTCTCCGCGACTTATATTCCAGAGATATACTGCGAGCCTTACCATCGTCATTACACTTTTTGTTGATTCTGTCGAGATCTACCAACTTTTTCATCAACAGTAGGTTTGATTGAATTTTTCATTGGTACTCACAACAGAGAGCTGAAGAAACAGAGGGAGTTAGCTGCTGCAAACAAAGAGGAAGAGAAGAAGAAGAGAGAAGAGGCGAAAGCTGCAGCTGCCGCTCGTATTCAAGCCAAGTTGGATGCCAAGAAGGGCGGAGGAAAGGGAAAAGCAAAAGCAAAATAGCACTTAGTCGCAGACTCGCATGTTTGAACGAGGTTGATCCTTCTGATCAAGTAGATTCAATAAATTGGGTTTGTTTGAATGTACTTTTAAAATGACTGAAAGCGTTTTTGGTGAAAATATTTTTAAAAACAATCCTTAATAAAAATGTTAGTAAATCCTTAAAAAACACTTAAAATGCTTCTTAGAAAAAGTACATAACTGATATTTTTTGTACAAAGCACTTAAAGTGCTTTTGATACCTAAAAATATTTTCTCTAAAAACATTTTCGATCATTTTAAAAACACATTCAAACGAGCCCTAATTTAGTTGGACTAATTTAGTTCGTGAGTCCGACTGAACAAACGATGACCTTTTCCCTGGTTTAGTGTGTGCTATAAACTTTTGCCAAACATGTTTTGGATCAATAAATCGGCCGTGGTTGGTTCACCGAAGGACTCAAGTTAGACTGGAAACTTCGATTGTTGTCCAAGTAAGGCACACTAACTTCAACAACGTCCCTCGCAACGAGTTTGCCGAAGGCAGAAAACTTTTGGAGTGCTATTTAAAATATACACAACATGCTTGTTTTGAGGGCATAATATTCAGCCATTTCCAGTGCCTATATATCAAGATAATTACAGCAATGCCAATGCTGGGCATAACCTTTGAATCGGATCCATCATGTGCCTAACTATGTAGGTGGGTACCCTACTTCTACTAGTTACACTTATGATTTAAACCCTGTAAGAGGCATCCATTCCATCTTGTCCATTTTCATGCAACCCTGATCCTGCTCGGAATTTACACACCGGGCAGGTTCCCTGCTGCTTCAGCCATGGATCAATGCAACTAGCATGGAACTGCAGCAAGCAACAGCAAAAAAACACGATAATAAAAACAAGACTCCTCGAGTCTGATTAGCTAGAGATCAACTCTTCCGATGATGTGTTTTCAGTTCACAATTTGCGTGAGTGTCACAGAGTGTCTGGTTAGGGAATGTGTGTGCGTGTGTGCAGGGTCGAGAGGAACCAGATGCATTTTGTAGTTGGAATCAATCACACATTTTGACTCGGCATCACAAGAATTTCTTTGCAAACATTTTAGCGTAGCAAAAACTCCCTAAAAATCGCAACTGAAAAATACAGGAAGATGGAAAAAATAAGCCTATGAATGTCAAAGCACTGAAAAGAGAACCGAACCTGATGCAAGCATGGAAGGCTGCGGATTAGTTCTCCCACAGTAACTTGCTCGAGGCAAACGCTACAAGTCAGTTCATCTTCCATTGCTTTTGTGCTCCCAACAGCGTCGACAGTTTCTTGCGTCTTCTGCAAAATAGATTAGAAATATACGACGGTACAGAATAAATGCAATGCTATCATATGATATGAGATAATAATGTACGCAAGTTTCTTCTGTCTGTACTCATACAAAATGAAATGCAGGAACATCTTTACTTTTGAAGGGTGAAAAATACAAAAGGAAAGAGGGGCAATATATAGTCAATACCTCAGAAGGTACTGAAGATGAAGCTTGTTGCATCGATGAAGCGCCACTGCATACAAAACAAAACCATTATAAAACAAACGTATTCGAAATGCAAAGGCTAAACAACTATGATTCAATTCTTTTTTCATTTGCCCCTAAAATCTCTCAACTCTGTTGGTCTATCTCAGTCACTCAACCAAAACAAAAACAACAACAAAAAAATTAGAGAACTTACTTTTGAGGACCCACAGCCTTGTATTTATGGACTGGAAGAGCATTTATCTCTTCCTCACTCATAGAAGAAGCTGCTGGAACATTATCGGAATCCAGAGCTCGCAAAGTTTCATAATCTGGTATGCAAAGAAGAGTATTTACCATAAACGTAAAGGCATATAAACAACTTTAAGAGAAAAATCTATGGTTTGGCTAATAAAAAATATTGATAGCCATGTATTGGGTTTCAAGATATAAAAATCATTTTAGACGGGATATAACTACCAACCTAGGTCATCAAATTCCCGGTCAAGAAGTGCAAGCTGAAGTCTGAGGCCTTGAAGGCGCCCTCTTGTTGCTAAGCTAATTGATGGTGGCATACGCAACCGCAATTCAGTATGGCCAAGAAGGCCACTGGCTGCCGCTGCATGAGCCTGTGCTTGAGCTTGAAGTTGTTGACAGGTTGCATACATCCTTAATGTTGTAGCCATCAAAAAGACACCAAGAACTAGCCACAGCTACATGCATAAGGATGTTTAAATTTCTCATATAACAACCTAACGAACAGCAACCTTGACCAGTAAAAGTAGCAAAACAATTTACATACGCTATTAAGACAATACCAGAAAATTCGGTGACATCTGGTGTGAGTTCAGTATCATGAATAGCAAGAGAACTGGCAATTTGCAAACATATAAACAGAAATCAGAACCTACTAACATAATTACAAGACTAAAAGGACAAAGGATAGGATTATAAGTACCTGTGACAAGAAAAGCAAGTGAGTTGGAATTGACAGAGCGTGGTGGATGAACACGCTGATACAAAACAACCAATATCAATATAAATTACACTAATAACTTTGCCCCCTGTTTCCCTAGACAATTTACAGAGACACTCGCCATAAATTAAACCCCATAACTCACCCTCCACCCTTGCTCTCAAGGGGGAGAAGGTGAAATTAGGCCCAAAGGGGATTAGCAACTGCGAAAAACAGCTCATATTGCATACACACTGGCCATCGATTAAACCATGAAACTCAAACCTCCACCCTTATTCTTAAGGAATAAGGTAAAATTAGAGCCAAATGCAATAGAAACTAACAACTATAGCTAAGACCATATACAAAATTTGTGAAAGACAAGAAATGTACCATTGCACGGCGCTCTGGTATGAATTCCGGGAACCCACTTTCGATATCCGCTCTGGTGCCCCGGAACACAAAACTCATGTTTGTAGAGTTCAAAAGCCTTCTGCTGAAACAATGAAGTCACTGACTTTCCAGTTCACAGAACCGAAACACGCAAAAAAAAGTATGTAAACATACATTCAGTCATTCAGTCGTCGTAACCAGTGCACAAGGCTCCCGTTTTACGCAGAGTCTGGAAGAGGTCAATGTCGGCTAACCTTACCCCTATTTATGGAGAGGCTGCTCCCAAGTCTCCAATCCGAGACCTACCGCTCATGGGCGAAGGCACTTGCCATCGCACCAAGGGCGAAGGCACTTGCCATCGCACCAAGGGCGATCTCTAATTCAAAAACAAAAAGAAGCTAGTTTGACGCAAAAAACCTTACTCAAGATTCCCAACTTACATGCAGTAAAAACTCAACTGAAATAACTAACATCCAATTAACTTCAAATTCCTGATACAAAATCACAATCAACAAAACCCTAATCCCCAAATCACCAATCAACAAATCCCTAATCTCCAAATCACATTCCCTAAACTATGCAATTAACAAAAAAATTTCTCTTTTGAGAAAGAAAAAAAAAACAGTAATTCAGGTCGCAATTGCATGCTGTGAGAGGTGAAGAATTACAGAGGCAGATTGGAAGAAGCTTTCATAATTTATGATCAAGAAAATTAAAGCGATCAGAGATTACGAGGAGACTGAGAAATGCGAGGAGATTAAAGACTTGCCGGGAAGAAACGACTTTGGATTGTTCAGATTACATGAACCGGCAGCGTTTCACGACAACGCCGTGCAAACGTTTCTTCGGTGGAAGAAAGGGAGCGAGTTGGAGTGTGCAGAGATTTGAGTCGACTCGGACGCGTTTTGCCGCGTGTACTCTGTTTGGTTAGTCTAATAAAGCTTCTTGTTTTGTCTATCGGGACTGTTTGGTTAGTCTAATAAAGAGATTAGTTCAATTACTGTTTCGTCACGACGCCGTTTGTACTCTGTTTTTCCACTTTGGAACATGGACTGTTACGTCAGGTATCACAATATAATTGAATGAAAAAAAATTTAAATTTGTATTGGCCCGTGTTCCAGCCCACTAAAAAATCTCTCCATTTCGAGATTCCACAATCAGCATCCTGTCTTAAGCGCACCGTTCCTTCTTATCCATTGGAAATTCATTTTGCCCCCTATATTTGTTCTACACCTATGATATACGGTAGTTATTCCTATTTATGAACTTTACTGGAGATGCTCTTAGTGGTACGATTTAATAATAATCATTTCACTTGTAAGTAAAAATATTTCAAGTCTGATTTTCGAGAATAGTGAGTTCTCAACTAATTTATTCCATCATCTTCATACGTAGATATATCATTGTATATAAAAAGAAAATAACAAGTAATTAGGTTGTTTATTAGGGAGAGCAAGTTCAATGTAATAGGTTCATCATCACGTGGCGTTTCAATCCAATAACATGTTATATAGAAAAATAACTTAAACGTAATATCATATTATTATATCTGAATGTCACTAAGCGACCACGTTCCATGTAAGTCTTCATATAGAATTGCCATTGCATAATTGACAAAATCACAATTCAGCCAAATAAATTGAAGTGCGAAAATTGATGTATGGTTCTATACTACAAATCAAATAAACTAATTTTTTACATTGCGGTACTCAAAGTTAGAAAGCAAATTGTGCAATCCCATGAATACTGATTGATCAGCAACTTTGTGCAGGCGTGAAATTTTTTTAAACTAATTGTTAACTCGATACGAAACGATACAAAAATAACAGATTCGAGTATTAGTCGAGTCATTATTGGATCATACGTTAATATAATGAGTATTACATGTAAACGACACAAATACAACCAATTTGTTAAGTCTAAACATTAGACATGATAATTTCATGTATAGCCCATTAAGCCGACATGAAAAGACATGAACTGTTAACGAGTCAGTCGTTACCGAGCCATTTGTTAAGAATGCGTTAAAATATCGAGTTTGACACAACATAATTAATTAAGATAATGAATATGATTAAAAAACGACACGAACATGATCTAGTTGTCTAGTCTACCCTTCATCATCCACCTGGGTCCCACAGACAATCCAAAATCACCATCGGAGTTGGAATCTTGGGAAATGGACACCGCACCCTCCTGCCCTCACTAAAAAAAAAAAAACTCATTACCCCAACAGAGATTCAGAGAATCTCACTGTAATACAAGTTTAAAATTAAACTATATGAAAACCCAAAACAGTACCCCCAAATTTATGTTAATTACCCAAATTATCCACACATGAACCCATAATATCTGAACAAAATGGGCCACCTATCTAGCACCAACACTATGTTGGCCCCCATCACGGTCCATTATATGAGAAAGACTTACCTACGTAGGATAGTATTCTAAACTAATAACATAAGGTACAGACTGCGATAGTATTTAAATCAATAACGCGACGAGTTTTAATATATTTTTTGTTATGGTGCGTTATTAATTTGAGATACCTTTACAATAACGTAGTCGAAGGGTAAGTTATTCTCGAGAATAGACCCCACCAAAGATTTGCCAGCTTAGATCCAGCAGGGGTCCCACTTAAGCACCTAGAGACCAAGCTTTTGACTTGCAAGTTCACACCTAACCTCAGCCACTCCTACCCTAGACTTCTCCAAATCAAACTCCATCCACACGTTCTGCTGATGATAGTGACCAATCACAAACGCCTCTATGCCCAGCAAGTCGGAGTTCCCATATGTGAAGCAATACACCTGATTCCCGCCCCTCACCATTCCCGGCACCCGATACAGCAGCCTTTCCCCCGAGACGCTCATCTCGGCCCCCCGAAACATCAGCGTTACTGTCGGCAACGCGGGCAGACTCGGCCGGTTCGTCGGGACTTGGAAACACAAATCGATCGCTCCTTGGAACACAAAATTCGGGTCGTTCAAAATGTTAAGAACCGGTTTGGTCTGCTGAGTGAATTCCTTTTTCAGCGCGGTGTAAACCGGACCGAGTAGGAACGTGAACTGGGTTCCCGAGTCGACCATTGTTTGACCTGCCCCGGAATGGTCCGGTACGAAAACGGACTTCGGGAGCGGTAACAACTTCCCTCCAACCCGGATCCCCTCCAGCTGGACCGTGTACGCTACCCGGTCGAAGTACGGCAATGGGGTTGAAATATGAACCAGTGGGGTGTAATTTAACGGTTTGAGCCAATCGAATTTCGCTTCCCCGAAAAGCAAAACACCGGACGAGTCGCGACCCGATATGCAGTAGGAAAATTTCGGAAATCCCATCTGTGTAACGAAGGACAATGAACCGCGGTTCATGCCCATTAACCCGGTTGTCTTCGCGTCCTCTTCAGCGTTCGAACTGGACCCGGAATCCATGCACCCGAATATGGTACCGGGTTGGGCGGACGACCCGAGATTGAAAGTTTCCCATGCGAGGTTACCTTCGATGGAGGAGGCGTCGACGTAGGAGAGAATGGAGTGGCAGAGCTTTTTCGGGTCGCAAGAAACGGGTGTGGGGAAGTCGCGGGTTCGGGTCCGGCAGACGGGGGAGGAGCAGGGGACTGGGGAGTAGGACTTGGAGGCGAGTGGGTTGAAGACAGAGTTGAAGTTGGGGGCTTTTTTGCAGCGAAGCCACGAAAGCTCGCTGCCTGTGTCGAGGACCATGGTGACTTGCTGCGGCGGAGAGCCGACGGAGAGGGAGATTGTGAGGGTGACGTTGTGGTGGAAGGAGAGCTTGTTGGTGGATTTTGGGAGGGACCCGTGTGGGAGGGTCTGTGTTTTGAGGGGCAGGATTAGAGTTTCTGGTTTTGGCTCAGAGAAACAGAGGGTGGTGAGGAGTTGAAGAAGAAGGAGGGGGAGGAGTATGGGCATTGTTTCTGGTGAAATTACGAATCGGGGAACTGAATTCGGACGGAATGTATGTTTTTTTTTTTTTTTGTTGGAGTTGGGGATTTGAACGTGTTGGTGTTGCAGGGGAGTTTGATAGAGTTTGTGGCGGGGTCTTTGTATTTGTTAGAGTTTGTGGCGGGGTCTTTGTATTTGTTGTAGGTGTGCTTGTGAATGGGGCCGAAAGGTCCGCATGAGGAGAAATTTTCCAACGTTGCCAGAATACGGGATACATCACATATCATTATAAAGTGATATTTACTTAAAAAATAAAATTTTATTTCGTTTATATAATGATATATGATGTACCATCTGTGTTTCGAGAATACTTAACAAATTTTTGCTTGCGAGTGCGTGTGAGTGTGGTGTCTTGTAAGTGCGCTCTCTCTCTCTCTCTCTATCTAAATTTGGTTTAAGATACTTATTACATGCAAATCTCATGATTATGTATTTCTACCAAATAAAAGTGAGATGGCTAAGAAAATAAAAGAGATGTTACGCAATCAAAAGTTCCGATTTTATTGCAAGGGTTTGTAATATTAAACAATTAAGAACATTTACTTGATAACCGATATTTTCTGAGATCAAAGGTGCATTTGGTAAGCTCTTCCAATATTCCTTTACTTTACAATCTAATAATCCTTAAATGTACTACTTTTATTTATTTTTAGCTCATCTCCCACCTGGTTGAGCTGCCTGAGATCAATGGTGCATTTGGTAAGCTCTTTCAATATTCATCTCCAAAGCCGATCAGATGCTTTCATTCATATTCCGTCTAAGCTCTCATAAAAAATTTGTATTCAAACATCCCTCACGTATATAATACTTTTACGATTGACAGCTTGGTTTTTGCTCTTCTACTTTCTATTGCTTGGTGAACAATTTAAAGGTCGAATTATATTCTGTAAAATTAGACAGCTGCTGTTTTTTCATTTGCTTTTCTTTTGCTTGTTGGTTACGAGCCATGAATATATATTAGTGGCTGGACTGTGCTTAATTCTTTTCTTTCTCGTTGATTAAGCTTCGAATCCAACAACCCCAAAAAGAGGATTAAAATTGAAAATAATTATTCATCTATTACTACTCCATAACAATCTTGTTCGTAAATAAAGTTTCAAATCAAATCTCCTTATGGAGAAAGCATCACCTCAATTATGCTCTGATTTCCTTCAATTTTTAGTGTAAATTGCACTAATTTTTTTTTTTTTTTACAAAATATATTGCACTATTTTATTTTACAAAGTATATTGCGCTAATTTTGGAATTTTATTTCCATGAGTCAATGATTTTTTTTAATTTACATTTATTTTGTATTTTTTATTGCTTTTTCAGAAATAGTACGATACTCATTATATTAGTGAGTGAATCAATACAAACACGGATAGGGTGTTCGATAAAAACACAAATAGGTGTTTTTTACGTGGGTTCAATAACGACAGATGATCTCTCTAGCATTTTTTTATTGGGAAAATTTGAATTAGGTCTAATTTTATAGGCTTATTTTGAAATAGGTTCAATTTTTAGTTACTTTGGATGTATATCAAAAGACCCATTTTTATTTATATCTCTAGCATTATTTGTTATTAATTTGAGTCTCGATTTCTTTTTAATACATCAATATTTTTACACTAAGCGGAGAGGGAGTTCGGCTAAGTCACACAATGGGCAACCTAATTTGGTATCGAATTCGCATCTACGAAATTCAAACCTAAAACCTCTCACTTCCAAATGAAGAGAAATATCATTAGACCGTAGTACTGAGTGGTGAGTCTCGACTCTTAAACCTTATTACTAGACAGTTATTTGATTAACTATTAAAAATGTAATTATTTTGAACCAAAATATTAGACCTAGTCCGAGTGCAACTTTGGGTTTGGCTCAAAATGAAGACGGCCGGTACCCACATCTATTCTTAAAGTCCAGCTTAGGAACAAATGGTCGAGTCCTAATCAGTATTTAATTCGTTGGGGATCAGGATTGGATCCGGTTGAGTCCGAATGTGAGTGAGATTGTTAAGGA